AATCCACTGGAATTTGGTCTGGCTGAAAAACAATTGCTCCTAACGACCCCCTTTCAGAGGCATTGACCATTATCGGATATTGCAGGCTAACAAAATAGCCAAACGACCCCATTCCTAAGGGGGGGAACATTTTTTTTTGCATTTTTTGTAAGCAAAAACATGTTTTTAGGCTACTATATAAAGCTTCGAATTCAACATTAATTCTGAAATTTTTATTTGAAAAAGTTTCCTGGATCGGAAGTGAAACATCTTCAAACTTGAAAACAAAGTCCAGTGGATTGTTTTTTTTTTTTTATTTAAAAAAAAATATTTTTTGGAGTTTGCAAAGGAATATAACATAATTATGCACCTTTAGCAAAAACATCACAATAATGGATACCAGAACCTGAGAGAAGGTGGGGGTTTTTTTTATTAAAAACTGTGCACTAAATCAGTCATCCATCTTCAAAATCATTTTATCAGGAATGTTTAAAGTAACTGTTTGGATGTTAGTGAAAGGATATGACAAAGCATGCAAAGGTTATTTAAATCAATAAATAAACAGGGTGAGATTAAACAAGTTAAGATACAAAGCAAAAACATAACACTGTGAGAAAGATAATATCATATGTGATCGCTTATATGGCTGAACATGAGCTTTTCACATACAGAGAGACAGACAGAAACCCTCCAAGAAATGGATAATATATCATATTTCTGGAATTGGGGGAGTATAAAATCATCAGACATTAAAATTTTTCTGCCCACATTAATTTCAATAAATTCAGGGATCCTTTTTCCTGCCAGATTCAGCGCATGAAGCAGAACAAGTAGTCGTGCCTGTTCCTTTGATCCCCATGGAAATAAATCACCTGACAGCTGCACGTGCCTTTTGAATTTCATCCATCTCCAAAGCTCAACAGTGTCCTTTTAATTTAACAAACACACACAAACGGTTAGCTAGATGTCAATACACATGTCGATAAGAAAAGGGGAGAAAAAGGCTGACAGTCATTTTTTTGACTGTGAAGTTAAAATCCAGTTTATGTCTGCATAACTGCTGAATCCCTCTTGGAAATGTTCCCGATTGGTCTGGGCGACCATGGAATATGAACCAGTGAAGGATAATGATCGCCCTGATTGAAGCAAGAGACATCTAATCAGCATTAAAGCTAAGCATTGGGAACATTTATCCCACTGTAGTAAGTTTCATCACGGCTCAAATGCATTTCAGACATCAGTATAATTTTGTATAAACCCAGTTTTTCGATCTATAATGGCGTCCATTATGCTTCTCTACCTCCCTTTGCCCTTCTAGGTCCTTCTTTTCATGCAGATATTTTCCTTCGCTATAATGATTTGGTTATTTTTTCGATCTACTCAAGAATCTAAAATATATATTATTGCTTAAAGCTTATAAATGTTTTAGCCTCTTTTAAAGGAGGGTAGTAACTAGCCACCTGCACGCCCATCAATATTTTCTTTTAATAAATTATAATTTAGTAGGTTTTTATTTATTGTGACTTTTTCAGTTTTTGGGTGTTTGAATTACTAGTGTGAATCTATAATTTTTTATCATGTTATCATTTTCTTTAATGGGAGGATATGTAAACTTTCAAGCACGACTTTAAAAGAAATATACTTTTAGGAGTTTACTCTTAAGGCTACTGTTACTTGAGTACAATTTCTGGTTTGTTGAGTTACATTTCTGGTTACCAGGTGGTTATCTGAGATTAGATAGACATACAGATATTTTAGTAGGTTTTTTTTTTATCCTTTCCTGACATATATGCATTACCTATTGTAAAGATTACCGGTAATTAAGTTTATGTTGAAAAAATGATTTTGCCAAATTTTATTTCAGTACTTGCAGCCATTTTGACAAACAGTTTTTCCCTGTACTTTGAGTAATTCCTTTCCTGAGTACTTTAAACTTTTTAAGTAGTGCTATTTAAACTTTTAAGATTTTGGGTACTCTACCCACTCCTGCTTCTTCTGCTTCTCTGATGGACTGTATGTAAAAATAATATTCTGACATAAATGCAGGGGGCAACTCATCCAATTAAAGAAGGAAAAATAGCTTTACTCTTTCTGTCAAACATTTCTTTCAAGCTGTTCCCAGTTTCAGTAACTTGTTTTTGTTTCTCTTCAGATGATAAAGTGGGAGAATTTACTATTTTAGTCCCATTATGAGTAAACTTAGTACACATGATGTTCTGCTTGTTCATGTTCAGTTTAAAAAAGGTTCAGGTGAAGTAAATATTTAATTACCTCTTTATCTACTGCTATTCCGTCCCATCCTACAGCCTTTTCCATCACTGTTTCTCTAGGGTTTGGTGTTGTTCAGTCATGAAGCTTAATAAGAACATGAAAATGCTAAAATCTCAGTTTAGCTGTTTATTTTTCTATGAGGATGTAAATTTGTTTCCATCAATGTTTAATCTTTGTTTTGATTAGTTTACCCTTTTTTTTTTTTTTTTTACAAATACTAAAATATAGTCCCCGATCATAACACAACTTGAAGAAACCTTCAGCTGGAATCTTTCATAACAAAACCAACAATTATGAAACAGTCACATAAAAGCTAAAAAATTGAGCTGGAAAATTTGGAATGACCGATTTTCAGATTATTCATAAAACCAGCAAAGCTCAAAATATACAAAATCATGAAGAACTTATTTTAGAAGCAAGCCTACAAAGAGCCCAACTGGTTGAAGAGAAATAACCCGCCTAAATTAAAACAGCGGTCCACAAGCGGACATTTTGTAACTATATAATAAAGTGGGATGTTTTTGTACGGATCAAGTAACACAGGAGATCCCTGTAAATATCTGCCAGCAGGAGGTTGCTTCTAGTTATTTAGGATGGATCGTCCGTCATAATCTGTCAGATTTGGACTAAATGGAGGTTCAGTTTTGAATTGAAAAATCTTCTTGGATGGGAAGCGAAATGTCTTGTCTTCAAACTTGGAAACAAAGTCCAGTGGATTGTTTTTTATTTTCTTTTTTTGGAAGAGGTTCAAGAGGGCCTCTTTCTGTCTTTGGTCAGATCTTGGTTTAGGTAAACCAAGTCCAGAAGAAAGGCTAAAAGCCTTTCCACAGATCTGTCTACCCCAGCTGTGGACTGTTTGTCCCGCTTCCATCAGGGAAACGGCTCAGGAACATAAAAAATAAAATAATGTCTGACCCAAAGCTGTGAAAGCATCCTTCCTCCTGCAGGCAGACACTTATAACCCCGGAAGAAAATCAAATTAACCTCCTGCCCATTTCATAGATTGTTTTCAGAATAAACTGCACTTCCTGTTTCCATGTTTTCACTTCTGTGAGTGTCTCCTTTAAAGATGCTGCTTTGTTTTTCTTTGTTTTAAATTCTGTATTAGTGTGTATTTTAAGATGGTGGCAAAATCAAAGCAAAGATTCTTCTTTTTTTCTTAAAGCCAGCTAGCTTAAAACAATCAATGGTGACAGGACGTGTCTAAAAAAAACAAAACTAAATGTTTACAGCTAAACATGCATGAGATCAGAGCAATATTACAACCGTTTAGCTCTTAATTTCAACCTTCCTGAACTCATTTTGGCTCTTTAAGAATCCTATCCCCATATCACAAACCATGGTATTTTGTCCCTTCCTTTTTCCCCTCACAATCAGCATTGTAAACAACCAACCTAGATTTGGTTGATTGTACTACTTTACAGTTTAAAAAAAGACAAATTTTTCTGACCAATTATCTTTGAACTATTTTTTTTAACATTCTAATTAAGATTTTTTTTCCGTGCCCTGTGATCTGTTAAATTTGATGTGTGACAACCACGTCCATCACCAATTTCCCCTATTTTTAGATCTAATATGGAGATAAATTGTCATAATTCACATCTATAAATAAATTTTGTTCTATAGTACTAGGTATAACATAATTTTAACACTCTATTCCCCATTAATTTGCTTCTGATCCAAGATGAAAAAAAAAACAAAACAAAAATGATGTCGTGACTCACTGCCTAGTGATTAGGGCAGGGAGTTCTGAGTTCGAGTCCCACTCCCACAGACAGCCACTCTGGCTCTCTGAGCAAAGACCCTTAACCCCACACTGCTCACTGGGCGCCACACAATGGCCGCCCATTTCTCCCCAAGGGGATGGGTTAAATGCAGAGTTAATTTCGTTGCTCTGTACTTGTACAGTGAAATGACAATAAAGGCTGGAAAAACAATCGACATTATTCACCATATTTCCTTAACAACTGAAGGCTGTTTAACAAGAAAAAAAAAAAAAAAAACGCTGCTGACTTTTTTTCATGGCTTTTTTGACCTCTAAGAACTTCAGCGTATTTTCAGGGACAAAAACCATTCAATTTTTAAAATGTTCTAAACCCTTTCTCTATCACCATTTAAGTCAGCTTTAATATATTTTTACCCAATCGTGATTCAAGTTTTATTCAAATCCTTTCAGGTTTACAATTTCTCAACGTAATCCCATGAAGCAATGGGCTCTATGCACAACTCCACTACCCCCTGAACTTTGCTGAGCTCCTTCGTTTTCTGTCTTTCATGTTGTGTCTCACCATTGTCGTCATGGTTACTGAGGTCAGGCACACCTGGCTTAATCAGTTGATCCAGTGATGAAAAAGAGAAAGAAAGGAGCTTCCTGAAGTTCTGAAAGTACTGGAGTTGTGCATAAAGTCGATTTTGACAACTAGCACAGTGAACAGTCTAGTTTATTAAATTCATTCCAGTTCTCCGAACAAATGCTTCTGACTTTTTCAAATTTTACTCAATTTACATGCATTAAATGATGCATAGACATGTAGGAATTTGTGTCTGGATTAAAAAAATCTAATTGTGGTTAATGCAGGATTAACAGAATTTAGGCAAATTAACGAAAACCACTGAGAAATTGTCATTGCTTTCTGATTTTTACTTTTCAGAAAGGAAAAAAAAAGGATCTTGGTTGGTATGAAACATCTCACTGCACATGGCCTCATTTTGTATTTAGAAAAATAGGTTAGGAATTGACCAAAATACTAAAAGTACCTAAACAAAAGAACAAAAGGAAGTAGGACGGGATAGAACGGCAATCCATCAGAGAAAAAAATGAACTTGAAACCTCAATCAAACAAATATTAAAGGCACACCGTGTAACTTTTGGCCACTAGGGGCGCTAGACCTGTAACTGCCTGCATTTAGCTTCTATTAAACATCGAAAATAATAAAGATACATGTCTGTATACTAGGAGCAAAGTGTTGACTTAACGGTCTCATAATAAAGTTGAGTAAAGAGAATCGGTTTTACATCCGGCGGCTTCTTTCAGTCTGCGCCAACCAACAAACTCCTTTCAAAGATCGACACTTATTTTTCCTCGTGCACAATTCCTTTCACTTCTTTACCTCCTCAGAAGGTTTGAACTTTTTCCTTGCCTAAGCCATGACCAGTAGTCGAACAGGTGGAAAAAAAGTAGAGCAAAAGGCTTAGCTCCATGACGATATAAGAGCCTGGGGCCATAAAGCCATACATTGACCTGGCCAGTGACGGTGCATCATCTCACATAGTCGGTGTTTCAAGGGAGGAGATACTCGAAGCACTGATAGTGTCAAGCACTTTTTATTATCTTAAGTTCATGGTGTGCCTTTAACTTTGATGCTAATGCTAAAATATCTGCCATCAGATTAACCTCTGTAGCTTCCCAGTGTTGGTCATTCATTGAAGAATTCCTATTTTTTGTCTGTTTTTGAGGAAAAATGCTACGGTGAAATAAAACAGTTTAAAAGGAAAAAACAAATTGCTCACACAACTACTTCTTTTGTTGATACTGTCATTCTGGTTCAGGCTCCAACCTTCTATCCCAGAAAATAAAATACATTTAAAACAACGGTATTGCACATGTGTGCTTTCTATCTACAGACAGAACAAAAATTAAATAAATAACTTTTATGCCCCCCATCGTTAAAAAAAACCCCAAAAATCTGTGATACCAAGAAGGTGGATTTTACCAGCATAGGTGAGCACACTTAGAATAATAAAGAAAATTCATGTGTTAATGTTCAGAATCTTTTTCTCCATTTGTTTTATATGTACAGTGGCCGTGTGAAGTATCTTAAGTAAATATGCACTCGATTCAAAGTAACTTCACAATTTATCACCATGAACCTTGAATATATAAATGTACATACACATTTACAAAAGCTGGGCTTTTCAAAAGTGCTGCAGACGGTGTAGAAAACGGGCGGAGAAAGAGGATCACGCTGCGATCCAGGACTGCAAAAGTACGTGTACACAGTTGCTGGAGGTATTTGGTTCATCTCTTCCACAGACCGTCTAATGCAGGGTTCTAATTAGACGGAACCATATCCTTTATAACAGGTTCTCTGTTTAGGTAGGTGGCCCAGTAGACCAGGTTGAACGTCCCAAAGAGAACGGGGAACATAATCCGTGACAACCTGTCAATCTTGCTGACGCTGTTGAACGTCTTCTTGGCTTCCGGGGCCTTGCCGTCCGCTCTGGGCTTACCGGGGTCCAAGGCGCCCCCTTTGGCGATGGTTGGGAGAGCGGTGGAGTCCTTGCTGACATTAGGGGCGTAGTTGGCTACCGCTACAGCGTAGGCGTTATTCTTCTTCATCACAGATGCCCTCTCTTTCTTCTGTTAAGAGACGAAAGAGATTGGTTACAAGAAACTCATCACCTGGACCATCCCTAATTTAGGGCTGCACCTATTAATTATTTTACAGTAAATGGTAAATGGGCTGTACTTATTTAGCGCTTTTTCAGGTCAGGAGATTTGACCAAAATGCTTTACTGTCATTCATGCACACACTCACACACTGCATGAATCTCTGCAATTTGGGAAATCTAGAGCTGTCGCAGTCTGGTAAATTTCTGTTAAATAAGAAAACGGTAAATGTTAGTTAGTTTTTAACCTGTAACTGTGAGTCGTACTCTGAGGAGTTGAGAGGAATTGGTTTATTTTTAACTAGTAAAGAGGAACATAACATTTAAACACAATGTTGTGTCAAACTTATTGCATTATAATACTAACCTAAGTGGCACAAACACTCTTGCTGTTTGGTGGAATCTTTTTTTTTTACTTTAATTATTTATGTTTTTAACCAACCTGTGTCATAATTCTTTCTTTTTTTTTTTTTAGTTTGTTGCTGTACTTGTTAGGACTCCTGTCTGTGTGGTTTGTGTTTTGTGTGTTTGTCTTCCTTCCTCCACCAGGTGGTGCCTGGTCCTGGTTCGCCTCCTCACACACCTGCTGATGGTTACCTCGTTAACGGAGTGTTCTTAAGCTGCTGACTGCCACTACCTCGACGCCAGAGTGTTTGCCAGTTTGGGTACTCTAGCCAAGCTGAGTTTTGCTGAGTCAAACTGATTTTTGTCTACCTAAGTTTTAACCTCGTTCTTTTGTCTTTGCCTCTCGACAGGAAGTCCTCCTGCAACTGGATGTTTCGGACCTTCTCTCCCTGGAAGGATCTTCTGAGAATCAAGCTGAGCTGAGGATTCAAGGGTGTGATTCCGATCAACCCGTTTCCCCAAGGAATGTCTGGGGCTTCTCTCTGAGCAGGGGATTCATCTCCACAACAACCCGTTCAAGTACCGCAGGAAATCTAAGTGGCAGTCAGTTTCTCCGTTCCCCTACAAACAACCGCTTTCTGGGTAAACCTGTCCGCCCTCCATCGAATGAGACAAACACTGGAACACCCCCACACCGACTGGAGTCAAAGAGTCAACCATTTTCTGGAAACGTGAGTCTGCAATCTATTTCTCCTCTTCAAGTTCGAGAATCAAATTTACCACTGAGCCTGAACTAACCGCAGTGTCTTCCC